TTTTTTTTTTGTGCTGAGATGTGGTCACATTTGTCTTTTCAATAATTATGTTTAAAAATTCCCATGTTGCACACACTGCTGTAGAAGCTTAGTTCTTGCAGGTGCTTGGAACTCTACTGCACAAGGTCCTGAATAACATTTTACGTGTTGGCTTTACTTTAAGAATGGGATTGGATGACGAGATTTCTAGAGGTACATTCTAACTTAAATTATACTGTGGTTCCAAGACGTGAATTGGGAAAAAAAAAAAAAAAAAAAAAAAAAGTGAAAGAATATTTTCAGGTAGATTTTCTTTTGATTGCAGTTGAGGAGAGAGAAAATGTATATATAGGCAGTAATTGAAAAGGCATTATGCATATCCACATTATAACATAACGTGCAATAAAGCCAATATATACCTCTATGGCCTCATGACTATGGACAAAGATCCTATGTAATACTGTTTAAGGTTCTGCAATCATCAGTCTATCTTTGAGTTTCAAATGAAGTAATCAGTGAATATGACAACTTCAACATCTCCTCCTATATTTTATGCAGATAAGGACTTGTTATTGCAACATATTGTAGTTGTATTTATAAACAACATAGCTATGAATATGACTTACTCTGCATAAATCCAATCCTAGTATGAATTATGAATCAAATATAATTGATTATAGAGAATCATCCTCTTCATTTGATTTTTTTTTTTTTAATGAAGTCAATTATGTAAGGTCAGTTTAGAGTGCCCCATTCTGAATCACCTTAGAGACTTCTTGTTGATCTCTCTTGTTTCCAGCATAAAAGAAAAAAAACACCCTTATCATTCTCAAATAGAAATAGTGCTATAATAGTCATTAAATTTCATCAATATTAACTAATTATTCCTTGCACATAGCATTCAGAAAGTAGCAACTATATTTTCTTTCTTGCTCTAAGCTGATTTTACTTTAATATTTCTGTTACCTTTTTTGATGTATCTTGCTAAAATTCAGCAAGAGGTAAGCAGCCTTTTCTCTTTATCTTTGGAGTAGAGATAAATATCTTTTTTGTGGAAACAAGCAGGTTTTGAATAATACATGGAAATTAAATGTCACTCATTGGCATTTTAAGGGGATATTGGGAACAGTGTGGTCACTGTTGTAAAATGCTACTTGCTGTAATATTTAATTCAGCATCCATCAAAAAATCACACTGAATCCCAAAGCTTCAGTAAGTTAAACAAGCTAAAATAAAAGAACACAGTGATACAGCATTATCTGTAATTTTTACATATATTTAAATGACTCAGACATATGTTATATTTTTAACTCACATTGGTATATACGTAATAATAGGACTATATGTCCAGCACATCTGTGTTACATATGTAAGGGTTTATAAACCTAAGTTAACCTGTAGACATTATATATATTTTTCTCAACTTCTATAAATATCTGTTATATTTGAATACAAATAAACATGAAATGAAACAGAACCTGTGTGCTGTCAACATTAATACGATTTCCAAAAAACACTGAGGTTCAAACATAGAAATTGAGGGGATTTTTTAGAGTCTGGCTTTCATAATTTAAAGACAAATTTTCCCTCAGCAAACTCTACATTTAGCAGAGAAATATTGGTTTCTTTGGAAGGCAACTCATAGAAAGATGTTCTGAATATTTCCATCTTCCCCTCTGGACAAACTTGCGTCATCTTATTTCACAGTGTGAATTTAGGAAATTATATTCTCTAGAAAGATCAACTGGAGTACTGGTAAATATTATATTAAAAATGTCCACAAATTGAAGGGGAAGCAGCTATACAAACATTCGGAAGCAGAGATAGTACATAAGCTGTGCATTAGAGCAAAAGGAAGAAAACATAAAGCGGTATAGAACGAGGAAGGTTTTGAAGAAAAAGTAATCTGTGAATTTGGTCCTATAGAACAAAAATTGCAACTTCAATTATGAGTTAGAGCTAGATTAACATCTTACAGAACAAAATGTTGCAAAATCATCCAGTCCTTTTAAAATAACTTCACATAAACATTTTGCAACACATTTGAAAGTCAAGAACTCAGTAGGAAAGTGCAGACATTAAAATGTAAAATAAGCTTTTCATTTGTTGCTCACTAACTGATATCTAACTTCAATCAGGATAGCTAGAAACCATTCCCATGTACTCAGTGCATCGATAACTGATTCTTTAAGGAAACTGTGAAAGCAGTGTATATACAGGCTAAATAAATAAATAAATAAATAAAATAACTAAGTAAGTAAGAAAATAAATAAATAAATAGACGGATAGACAGACAAATAAATAAATAAATAAATAAATAAATTCTGGCTTAGCATACCACTACAGAGCATAACTGGGCTGACATAAAATGTCACCTGTGACATTTCATATGAATTTGCAGTATTGGAATAGATCTTTTAAGCACCTTAAGGAATTCTAGGGTTTGGTAGTCTTTTGGGGGAGCTAGTGTCATTTCTAGATTATACTAGGTTAGACCTCTCTTTTCTGATTTTTTTTTTTCATTATACTATTCATTTCTTAAGCACATATGTGGTTTGAAGAGCCAGTTTCTAATAATCGCCCAATGGCTCCATCATTTTTTATCACAAACAACCCTCATTTGTATTCTCTCCTGCTTGGGGTCCTCAAAACTTCAACAGTTAGCTTAACCTGACTTAAATTGGGATCAAGCCTAGGAAGACATTCTCTCTTACAAGGTCTACTTTTTATCAATTTCTCACTTGGCCAGGTGTTTTTGGTTTTTGGTTTTCAGTAAAATGAGGAGCTGCTCCAAAAGTAGTGCTTCCAATTTTATTGATCCATGACACCGGAGTCAGATATTGGTGGTATGGCAATAGAAGTTCAACCCTCCCAATATTTCATTCTATTTCCTTGGTGTGCAACAGACATCAGTAGATGGATAATCTGACAAAATAGCATCTGACATAGAAGTGTGTATGAAGCAAATGTATTAAATTTCACCAACTGACATTCATTGACACTTTGAGAGCAGTGTCTTGCTCCAATTTATAGGAGGAAGATGAGGTTCTTTTAATATCTGTATATCCAGCGTGAGATTAAGAAACAATGGTTCAACTGTTGGTCCAATCAGTTTATTATAAATCCTAATTAGGGAGACTGGGAAGGAAGGAGGGAGATAGAAAAGATAGGAAAGAAGTAAGAATTGCATAAAGCGGAGATAGTCACCACCAGGATCCAGCAGCGGTCCCAATGCACGACGTTTCAAAGGTCCGAGGCAAAAGCAGAAGGAGGTAGAGCAGCAATGTGGCCAGCCTTTTGCAGCAAGCATGTAGCAGGAAGAAGTCACAGAGCCAATCTGGGAGGAAGCAGCAAGACTCATGTAGCAGGCCCGGGAGAGTTCATCAGCATGCAGGAATTCTGTAGTGAGGAATCTAATGGCAGACGCATTTGTTCTTCTTCAGCATGCTAGTAGAGCACAAAGCAAGTCCAGGAGGGAGAGAGGCAGGTTGTGAGGCTTCTCATGTCAGAAACCTCTTCTTCTTCATGAGGAATCTGTTGCCAGAAAACCTAAATCTCATGATTGTAGGTCCCCATTTTATCCTTCTTTTTCTGCCTACATGACATCCCTGCGTGCTTGAGCAAGAGTCCTGTGAGTACCCTCTGAGATGGCCATGTGCCTCGAGATAAGCCCACACAAAAGACCGCTTCACAGCCATTAAGCCGCAGCTTATCTCTCTCTCCTTGCCCCTGGCCTTGTCCATCTGTGTCCCTCAGACAAATGATTTCACAACCCTTTCCCAGGACTTGCTTGGACTTGTTCATCTGTGTCTCTAGCAAGCTTTGAGACAATGATGTAAAAGAATAATCTCTTACAAGCCCTAGTGCAATGTTATGCTTTGGATTTTTACTGCTGTGATGAACTCCAAGAGCTTTCATTAGTTCATACTTTTCTGCAGAATTATCATTTTCTTGAAGATGGTTGATTATTTTACACTGTCACCAATTGATGATTATGTGGCTTTTATTTTTTAATTTTTAAATGTACGGTTTCTTCAATCCTCTCTATTATTGATAAATTTTATTAAGAATAAATGCTTTCTTTGTCATTTTCTAATCATTTCTTTCTTTTTTTTTTTTCTAATCTGTAAATAATGACTAGAATCCATTCTTTCTTTGTGTATTGCCTTGAAAATATCTATAGATTTTTATGTGCTATTCTTCAGTATATTTGTAGTGTATCAGCACAAGCAGTCCCTTTTTCAGAGATTATCCTATTGTAGCTGACTCAATAAAGGAGTTGGATTCTAATTCATAAAAATGAATTATACACTTCAAGTCTAAGTCTTAGCATTTCCATTAATGATCTTAGCACAGAAAGTAGAAATGTATTGATGAAAAATGCTGATGACACAAAGTCATAGGAAGAATTTGTCAATAAATAGGAAGACTGGATAAAATATGGAAAAAAAAAATGAATGACACTGAAAGTTAAAATAATTGAGGTTGTAAGAATCACAGAATCACAGAATCACAGAACTGTAGGGGTTGGAAGGGACCTCCAGAGATCATCGAGTCCAACCCCCCTGCCAAAGCAGGTTCCCTACAGCAGGTCGCACAGGTAGGCATCCAGGCAGGTCTTGAACATCTCCAGAGAAGGAGACTCCACCACCTCCCTGGGCAGCCTGTTCCAGTGCTCCGTCACCCTCACTGTAAAGAAGTTCTTGCGCATGTTCGTGCGGAACTTCCTATGCTGCAGTTTCTGGCCATTTCCCCTTGTCCTGTCTCCACTCACCACTGAAAAGAGTCTGGCCTCGCCATTCTGCCCCCTACACTTCAAATATTTATAGACCTGGATCAGGTCCCCTCTCAGTCTTCTTTTCTCAAGGCTGAACAGACCCAGTTCACTCAGCCTTTCTTCATAGGAGAGATGCTCCAGGCCCTTCATCATCTTTGTGGCCCTCCGCTGGACTCTTTCCAAGAGATCCTTTTTTGTACTGGGGAGCCCAGAACTGGACGCAGTACTCCAGATGAGGTCTTACCAGGGCAGAGTAGAGGGGGAGGATCACCTCCTTTGACCTGCTGGCCACGCTCTTTTTAATGCACCCCAGTAAGCCATTGGCCTTTTTGGCCACAAGGGCACACTGCTGGCTCATGGCCAACCTGTTGTCCACCAGGACACCCAGGTCCCTCTCTGCAGAGCTCCCCTCCAGCAGGTCATCCCCCAACCTGTACTGGTGCATGGAATTATTCCACCCCAGATGCAAGACTCTACACTTGCTTTTGTTAAACCTCATCCGGTTTTTTTCTGCCCAGCTCTCCAGCCTATCCAGGTCTTGCTGAATGGCAACACAGCTTTCAGGCGTGTCAGCCAATCCTCCCAACTTCGTATCATCAGCAAACTTGCTGAGGGTGGCCATTATCCCCTCATCAAGGTCATTGATGAAGATGTTGAACAAGACCGGACCCAGCACAGACCCCTGAGGAACACCGCTAGTTACAGGCCTCCAACTGGACTCTGCACCGCCAACGACGACCCTCTGTGCTCTGCCAGTCAGCCAGTTCTCAACCCACCTCACTGTCCACTCATCTATCCCACACTTCCTCAGCTTTGTTATAAGGATGTTGTGGGGGACAGCATCAAATGCCTTGCTGAAATCAAGGTAGACTACATCCACTGCTCTCCCCCTGTCCACCCAGCCAGAGACAACATCATAGAAGGCTACCAGGTTGGTCAAGCACGACCTCCCCCTTGTGAACCCGTGCTGACTACTCCTGATAACCTCCTCTTCTTCCAGTTGTCTGGAGATGACATCCAGTACAAGCTATTCCATCACCTTTCCAGGGACAGAGGTGAGGCTGACTGGCCTATAATTGCCTGGGTCTTCCTTCTTGCCTTTTTTGAAGACGGGGGTGATGTTGGCTATCTTCCAGTCTTCAGGCACCTCCCATGTCCTCCAAGACTTCTCAAAGATGACCGAAAGCGGTTCAGCAATCACCTCTGCCAGCTCCCTCAGCACCCGTGGATGAATCCCATCGGGTCCCATGGATTTGTGAACATTGGTGTTGCCTAGGCGCTCCTGGACCACCTCTTCCCTGACTGAAGGGAGGTCTTCCATTCCCCAGATCCTCTCACTAACCTCCAGGGTCTCAGATTCCCGAGGGGGAGCTTTTTCACTGAAAACAGAAGCAAAGAAGGCATTTAATATCTCCGCCTTCTCAGCATCCCCCGTTACCAGAACACCCCCGCCACTTAGCAGGGGAGCCACATTCTCCCTAGTCTTCCTTTTACTGTTAATGTACTTGAAAAAACCTTTTTTATTATCCTTTATCCCCTTTGCCAGATTTAATTCCAGGTGGGCTTTAGCCTTCCTTGTCGCATCCCTGCAGACCCTGACAACATTCCTATATTCTTCCCAAGTAGTCAGACCCTTTTTCCACATTTCATGGGCCTTCTTCTTTCCTTTGAGTTTGTGCACGAGCTCCTTGCTCATCCACACAGGTCTCCTGCCACCCTTTCCCGATTTCTTCCTCACAGGGACACACCGATCCTGAGCTTGGAAGAAGAGCTGCTTAAATGCCGACCATCTCTCGCCCCCTTGCCTTCCAACACCCTAGCCCATGAAACAGCTCCAAGTAGGCCCCGGAAGAGATTGAAGTTGGCTCTCCTAAAGTCCAGGATAGCAATCCTACTTTTTGCTTCACTTCTTCCACTCAGGATCTTGAACTCCACCATCTCGTGGTCACTACAACAACAAGAAATTAAACAATGCAAAATTCAAGGTCAACAACTGTAAATAATAACAATAATAATAATAAAAAGACGTAAGAAAGGACCTGAATGTATTCTGCACTTAAAGGATCTTTGATATTTCCAAATGATACAGCCACAGGAAGGTAAAAAATTGAAAAATAAGCACTTCAGAAAGAGGAAGGAAAACGTTATTCAAGTTGTGCAGAGTTGCTTGAAATATGGTACTGTGAGGTTGTCTATGGTGGAGATTAATTGAAAGCAGAGTTGAGGTAAGGAATAGGTATTTGTGGTATCAGAGGTATGGAAAATCTGTCTTACTGATGAATCAGAGAGCTTGAGTTGCTTAATAGCATTTAAGTGCTGAGGTAATGACTGCTGCTTGTACTGGAGGAATCCAAGAGGTAAATATTTTGGAGGAAAAGCAAGTATTTAAAATGCTTTGCTGTACATTATAACAGTTTTTATTCTTAATATTGGTGTAGTTTGAAAAGTGATTCACTCCAAGAAACTTTCTGCAAAATTAAAATTTCAGATTTGGCTCCCTTCAGTGTATTAGCATTAATTCATTGAACTTTGCACTCCTGAACACTTCCACATTACTTTGTACTTCATCTTAGAGCACACAGCGCATAATTTCCATTTCAGATTGGTGGACTGTGACACACATTTTACTTTATTTCTTACTCAGTAAACAGAAAAGAATACACAAAGCACAATAATTCCGTATTTGGACTCTTGGTGCACTACAGAGGAGATCAAACATTAGTAACATGTAGAAGGTCTAGTCCTAAGCAATGTAAACTTTGTATTGGCCTTTTATATTTAGTAATATTAAGTAGGACAAAATGGGAAGAAAAAACATACATGTCAATTTCGCAATAAAATCCATTTTCATTTTGTTAAATTTCAGAGTATGTAAAATGTTAGGGAAAATGTTAATAAAAATGTTGATTGTCTCAGAATGATAGTAAGATTTGTCATAGGCAAGAGAGAATCTTTTCCTTGACGGATTTGACTAATGTTTTAGAAGAAATAAATTATTAGTTTGGATGCAGAATACCATCAACAGTCTTTCTTACATGTTTGGTTTGAGAGGCAATCAAAGGTGTGTTTCTTATAACATCAGAGGAAAGAGGGATATTTTTTATAATATATTATTAATGAATAGAAAGCTTTCAAGATCAGAATGGAAGGATGCAGACATGAGTAAGCTACATATGGTCAGAAAATGCATAGAATATTCTCTTTCTGTGACTTCAAAAACTGGAGAACAGAGCAAACATAATTCAAAGCAATATTTTACATAATTCTTAGGCTTTGACATATGAATACTACCAAAGAAAAACACATCTATAATATATATGAGCAGAAAACTTAACATACATTTGTGGAGAAAATTCAGGAAGAGAGAGAGACCTAATTAATTATTTAAGAACCTGTTGCAACTTTTACTAATTATCTCTTACAATCTTTGCTGTATATAGATATACATAAAGTTGTATATACAGAGAGTTATAAAGATGATAGGTAACAATTTAAGTGTTTTATTGGAAGATAAGAAACACTCACGTTAATGAAAGTTACTTCAGAAACATGCATATGTTAAAACACAATAAACAGCAGTAAAAATCAGAAGGTCAAAAAAGGGTATTTTATTTCACAGAGTTTCACTTGGAATAGAATTTTCTTCTAGTTATGCTTTTGTCCATGCAGAGATATTGGGGAGCTTAGAAACCCTTCTGTCCTTTTCCTGAATAGCACACGCAGAAAAAGTACGACATATAATTTCAACATATTTTACGTTAAAACAGAAAAAGAGAAGTACTTGTTATTTTTGTTTGCTGATAGTCAAATAGATGAGATTACTACATTTATTAAAACAAATTATTTACACTTTTCTCCCTGGTTTTTCCAAATTAATCCATGTCAAGAAATTTTTTTCAGAGATCCTTTTGTAATTCTTACTATACTTTGAAGAAAAGAAACTCACTGTTACTTTCTTTTATTTGTATGTTTGGCAAGTAACAATTTCCAATTCCAATACTGGAATGCTAAGAGCAGGGAGAGATGATCTCTTTATCACTATGGTAGAACATGTAATAGCATTCCACAATTTCTTCCACTACCTGAAAGAGAATATTACTCCCTGCCTCTGCTTATTTTTCTACATGGAGATCATAAGAATGTAAAAATATCTTTATTAAGCTAATTAGCATACTTATTTTCATGAATAACTACTTCCTTTAATTTACTATTAAATTGCTGTCTGTTTTATTTTGATGTATTCTTGTTCTTTTGCTGGGACAAGACAGTGAATAATATATTCATGTTTTCCTTAAGATTTTATAGAACTCTGTCATATCTCCCTTAGTTACATTTTTCTAGGCTGACAATTCCTATCTTGTATATTTGTGTCTTATATGAAAGCTCTGCTGTGTAGTAGATGTTTCATTGGTTTTATTTCTTTGTTCATTTCCATTGTTGCTGTTGATATAGTGGTTGTTTAGAATCATAGAATCACTTATATATTATATCTATATATTTATATTTATATGTTACCAAGTTCAAAAATCAGTTAGCAATATAAAGTCCAGCATTAAACTATGTCCTTAAAAACCAAACCTCCACATTTCTTAAATGCCCCAGTACATGATGCAGTGCACCAGAGATGTATACATGGTAAATTTTTTGTTTTATTTTCTTTCTTCTTTGTTGTACTGTTCTTTTTCTAAAACCTCCTTACATTGCTCAACTGCTATTGAGCATGAAAAGGAGGACTGTTCACTACCTCTGCATGTTGACTTTACCTTCACTAGCTGCTAGGTTGCCACCTAGGTTTTTTCTCACTCCCTCTCCTCAGGATGACACACAGACAAAATAAAATTAAGGAGCTAGTTGACTGAAGAAAAGACAGGGAGGTCACCAATTACCATCACAGGAAAAATACATTCATCCTGGGGAAAAATAATTTTGTTTACTGTCAATTAAATTTGAGAAAGAATGGTGAAATATAAAAAAAGCAAACAAACAAAAAAACTAAAACTTTTTTTTTTTTTTTCTTTTAGATCACAGTTTACTTCTTTCCCTCTGTCATGGTACCCATGACAACCCATTGTAGTGTTCAATTTTACCAGAAGCTGGTGCATGGTAGGAGATATGATAAATCTACTCAACTCTGTGATCTTTGGCCCAAGTTTTTGCAAGAGAATTCTTGAAATGTGTTTCATTATCTGACTCAATTCTTTCTGGAGTGCCATGTCGTATATACATAGGTTTGTGTGTACATGTTTTAATGTTTGGTAATTACAGTTTGTTTGTATATATTAAGCATGATGTAGTGATGTGGAATAAGGGGTGGAATGTCATGGTTTTTTGAGTTTTGGTTTTCAGTATTCCACATCATAATATCATGTAGTGCACTGGGAGTTTAACTGTTAATGCTCAAGTTCTGGGCACCTGTCCGGAAGAGAAGAACTACATTCTTCAGGGGGCTTTGCAGTCAGAGATAACAACCCCTGGGAATGTCACCTGATGTGCTCTTCTCCATCAGCTCTTCTTTGTTGGCTCTTCTTTGTCTTCCTGCTTCTCAACCAGACTGCCCATCTCACTTCAGCATTATGGTGAGGCCTATCCACCTTTCAGACACTCTCATTATATTTGATTTATCAGCTTCAATTCTAATTATATTGTATTATAGTGTGTTATCTTGCATTCCAATACTATGTTTAGTAAATTAGTTTGTTTCTCCTCAAATCGTTGCCGCTGTTTACTTATTTTTGGGTCCTCTGTTTCCTTTTTCCTTTTTCCTGAGGCATGGATTTTGTGAAATCCCTCCACCCTGCTAGTCACAGAACTGGGCTGAACCAGCCTGTAAACCGTTGACACCCTCATTCCCAAGTCCTGGTAGCAGAGTGTCAAGGGGAATGAAGGAATATGCTGAGTCTATTACAGTTGCTTTCTGCTGCTCCTCGTTCTCTTCACACTTTTCTCCTGCTGTAGTCCTTCAGAAAGTGTTCTACCATGCTCTTCCCCATGTATTGCAGAAAAATCTCTGCTCCAGCATCTGAAGCACTTCCTCCCACCCCATCTTCCTCCCACCCCATCTTCAGTGACTTTGATGTCTGCAGGATAGTTTCTCACTTTTTCCTCACCACTTACTGCCATGTGGTGATTTGCCCTTTTAAAAATATGATTTCACTAGGTGCCATCAGCTTAGCTGATGGGCTCTGCTTTGGCCAGTTGTGGGTCTGTTGTGGATCAAGATAGAAGATCCAGTATGGGTCAGCACCAGTCTTTTCTCACAGAGGCCACCTCTGATACCCTCCCCCCAACTGCAACAACAACAAAAAAATAGCAATGACAACAACATTTGTGTTATGTATGATTAGATTTATCTTTTTTTTTTTTTTTTTTTTTTTTTTTTTTTTTTTTTTTTTTTTTTTGTATTGCATAGTCAAAGCAAAGGTATAAAAAGGTTTTACACTCAAAAAAGAAAAAAGATTTTTACAGCAGAAGACTGACAAGGTGAATACCCAAAGAGGAATATCTTTCAAAAAGCAGGCATAGTCTATTCACTGAAGGGAGAATTGATCATCTGAACAGAAGGAAATGAAT